TTTTAAGAGCTGAAAAGAATTTAAAACATTTTTCTGATGACTTGGAAATAAATCTCCCCAAGGTTGCAATTCTTCCTGTCAATCTCTGCACTTCGTTTTTACTTGTAAGCATGTCAGGAATTTCTTCAATGGCTTTAATCTACGCGGGATTTACTTCAATACCACGGTTAGAAACAAGAAAACCCAAAAACTTACCCGACGAAATGCTGAATGCACATTTCTCGGGATTTAGCTTCATATTGAATTTTCGTAAGATCTGAAATGTATCAGACAAGTGCGATATATGATCCCCTGAATGTTGAGTTTTAACGAGCATATCATCTATGTAGACCTCCATAGTTTTCCCTAAATGTTTTTGGAACATTTTAGTTACCAATCTTTGATACGTTGCACCAACGTTTTTGAGACCAAAGAGCATTACTTTATAACAGTAAGTCCCCCTGTCTGTTATAAATGAAGCTTTTTCTTCATCTAGGGGATCCATTTTGATCTGGTTGTACCCTCAATATGCATCTAAAAAGCTTAACAACTCATGCCCTGCAGTAGCATCAATCAGTTGATCTATATGTGGTAATGGAAAAGAATCTTTAGGATAAGCTTTGTTAAGGTATGTGTAATCTACACAAACTCGCCATTTGCCATTTTTTCGGTACTACAATAGTATTGGCTAACCAATTAGGATACTTTACCTCGCGGATAGACCCAATTTTTAATAGTTTTTGAACCTCATCTTGAATCACTTGAATTTTGAAAGTCCCCTGCTTTCTCTTCTTTTGTTTGATGGGTGGATATGATGGGTCTTCATTTAACTTGTGAGTCATTACTTCCGGTGGTATTCCTGTCATATCAGAGTGGGACCAGGCAAAACAATCCACGTTAGTTTTCAAAAATTCAATCAAGTTACCTTTCATGTTGTGGCTTAGGTTAGCCCCAACATAGACTTTCCTTTCAGGCCATTGTGTAAATAACTCTACAGCCTCCAATTCTTCAATCGTTGTTTTGATATTTTCATTCTCTTCTGGTTCTTGAATGGAATTGGGCCTTGAGTCCACATCTGTTCGCCATTGTTCAGTTGAGGCTTGGGTTGTGGTATCCTCAACTGGATTCTGTAACTGCTATTTTTCTTCGTTTCTCGTATTTGAATCTGCTACGGAGTTGATGCTCCTGGATGTCTGTTGATCCCTACGGATTTGACGTATTCCCCATGGTGATGGAAATTTAATAACTTGATGTAAATTAGACGGAACGGTATCCATCTCGTGGATCCACGGTCTCCCGAGAATCATATTGTAAGCCATTTCCATCTCTACCACCTGAAATTTTGTATCTTTGACAACCCCTTCCGCGAATGTAGTAAGTGTTACCTCCCCTTTCGTCATAACGCTTGAATTGTCGAATCTTGGTACTAGTTTATTTTCTGCTAGCATATCATTTAGTACACTTAACAGAATAATGTCCACGGAACTACCTCGATCAATCAAAACTCGTTTCACATTAGTATCATGTACAAGTAGAGATATTACCAGTTCATCGTTATGTGGAGTTAACACGTCATCCGCATCTGCATCATCAAATGTAATACTTTCTTCCTCCAACACATGTCGGATCCGCTTCCCGTGGGTGATTGTAACTTTAGAGACCTTATTAGCTACGGTATACGTCACGCCATTGATTTCCTCGCCCCCGCTTATAACATTGACGGTCCTTTTTGGAGAAGGAGGTTTAGGGGGATCCTGCCTATTCTTCATGTATGATTGCTTATCTTTATCACTAAATAATTCGTTGAGATACCCTTGCTTTAATAGATGGTCAACTTCACCTTGTAATAATCTACAATCTGCCGTTTTATGAGCATGATCGTTGTGAAATTCGCACCAGTGATCAGGATTACGCCTGTTTGGATTTGATCTCATTTCTTTTGGCCACCATACCTTATCTCCCATACCTCTTAATACCGCTACTAACTCTAAAGTGATGTCATTAAAATTATAACCACCAAATCTTGCCTTCAAGTTTCTATCATCTTCTCGAATTTCTCGTGTGTTTCGATCGTTTCCAAACCTTGATGATGAACCCGACTCTCTATTTCTCGATCTGTGATCGTACCTTGAATTATCCTACTTTGATCGTGAGTCTTTTCTTGTTGGGCCCATATATGGTTCGTATCTATTTTTACCGGACCTTTTTTCGGTTTCTGAATGTCTCGAACTTACCTTTTCCTCTTTCTGAGATCGAGAGATAGTGTCTTCTTCTATCCTTAGCTTCATGTTGTATCTGTTGTAAACATCATTCAGGTTGTTGCTGGAAATTCACGCAGACTTTCCTTGAGTCGTCTCGTGGCTTCTGAGCTTTTCTCATTCAAATTACTAGCAAAGGCCATAGCCGCCAAGTTATCAAGTACGCGTGGCAACATCATTCTTTCACGCTGTAACCTATCCACGAACTCTCTAAGCAGCTCTGAATCTCCTTGCTTGATTTTGAAAATATCTTCCATTCTTTTTTCAACTTTTTGAGCTCCCGAATGCGCTTTGATAAAAGAATCTGCAAGCTCAGCAAAAGAATTTATAGAATTTTTGGGTAAAAGGGAATACCATGTTAATGCTCCCTTGGTGAGTGTTTCACCGAATTTCTTGACCAACACTGATTCAATTTCTTGTTTGGTTAAATCGTTGCCTTTTACACCAGTTGTAAATGCAGTCACGTGGTCTCGTGGATCGGTTGTGCCATCATACTTTGGAATATCAAGCATTTTGAACTTCTTCGGGATCGGCACCGGAGCAGCACTAGGCTTCCATTGTTGTTGTGTACTTATCCATGTCTATTCCTTTGATGACAAGCGGCACTTCAGGTATTTGCTCTAAGCGATCGCTTTGCTCCTTGAGCTGCTTCTACAAGATTAGAACTAAATTTTGTAAATCAGAATTAACTATGTTACCTGGTTCGCCATCGCAAGATTTGCTTGGAGTTCCACTAGTGCCTGAGTTAACGAGCCCAGAACGTGGGTTTTCCAAAGTATTCTGATTCAGAGTTTGTTGGTGGTGCAATTGGCAATTGGCTGGTAAAAGTTCGGAGAGAATTGCTGACTTGTTGAGCAATGAGATTTTTTAAGGCATCATCCAGTGCTTGTTCGTTTGCAACTCCAGCATTTTGATTTGCCTCGAATCCGTTTTGATATGCAATCCCATTATTTGTTTCAGAGCCATCTGGAGTTCATTCTCGTGACTGACGTTGTGAATCACGCGGTGAGGAAAGTGGTGTCCTATCACCCGCATCATTCTCCTGATGTTGAGGATCTTGTTGGTTGTTGTCGTTGTTATTCGACATGGTAAGTTTTTTGATGAAAGAATTGATTAAGAAAGTAAACGATTATCAGATTCCTGGTAACAAAACCAATTTGTTTAACCAAAAATAGGAATTTCGGTCAAAGCTTTATTTTAGAAGAACTCAGGTTACTGATAATCAAAAAATAAAATGAATAAAGGAAATTGATTTTTATAATAATAAGATGAACAAAAGAAAGCAAAGTAACTCAGTATATTCTAATGATATTTCGTATCCTTACAAATGGTCAGCCTTCTCCTTTTATAGCTATTTCTAGGTAATACATTTGTTTCTACCATAGTTGAGCTATTATTGTCTATGAATGGAATTTAATGACATTTAATGTAACGTTACAATCAGCAATCACATTTGATTCAATATAGATTCCTTAACGTTTTCCGTATTTAATGTCCAATAATACATATCTATACCTTATTTACTATCAAATTGATTCCCTTCCATCATAAAGAGGTTCAGTACTTATCTTCCTTGATTTTTCTCTGAACATCTGCCCGTACCTGTTGAAGCTTGTGCCTATTAAACCTCGTGCCTTCTTTGATTATTTTTCATTACTTATTTTTTTTGACTGGTCCACGTGTTATGACGTGTCATCTTATAATGAATTCCATATATAAACTTAATTTTTTCCAATACACCAAGCTGATTAAAAAAACAACCAACTAGCTTCAAAGAGACACCATAACAAAGTTGAATTGTTTGGCAACTTTAGGGATTGAAGGATTAGCCAGATTATCATATAGCATTTTGCTTAATACAAAAAGAAATTGTCTTTTCACTTGCAAAATTTATAAATTGTATGGGATTTCCTTTAGAATTGCTATCGATGAATTTATAGCTATGCCAATCAGGGAGACACGGTTTGCTGAGTGCACAGATACAAATGGTTCAATGGGAGCAAGAATTTTCAGGAACATATGGAATAGTGCGCCCTGTCAGTCCTCCAGGCCCCGGCGACCAAAGCCTCGATGAACGGCAGCAGTAACTATAACGGTCCAAAGGTAGCGATATTCCTTGTTGGGAAGTTTGACCCCCCTCTAATTTTTTTATTTTCTTTATTTGATTTGCGTTTTCTTGGGGACATAGATATACTGAAAGTCAATTACACAAAGCTGTATATCTTTGTTATTCACAAACTAACAGATGACTGAAGGAATACATATATGAAATTTGGAGGAACCAATTAACTGTAACCAATCAGGAAAACGAAGAATACACCCTGGAGCAAGTAAACCACATAACAGGAAAAGAAACATGCATTTGAAATTGTATTAAGTATATTAAATCTAGCTATTCTTGTGTGAAGAAACTAGTCGCTCAACCCGGCAAAGATGAGCTTCTAAATCCATTAAACTAGGCAAGTTAATATCAACACAGCTAGTTCTTTCCCCAGTTTTCTGCTTGCTGGGAATCAGATTTTGAGCTACACTATTAGTCTTGTTCCTGTCATGTGCATAGTCAGGGAATGTGTAACTTCTTTCTTCTGCAGTATTCTTCTCCATTGAATCAGGAGGCGCAATGTTGAAATCCATTGTTTGTGAAATCCCCATAGAAATATTCTTCTTCTCATTTACTTCTCACTGCATTTGGGTGGAAAACCAGGGGAACATCAGGGTAATTCTCCACTTTTACTTTCTTTTCCCCCATCAATATATTCTTCTTGTCATTTACCTCACCACATTTGGGAGGAAAACCAGGGGGATCATCAGGGTAATTCTCCACTTTTACTTTTTTTTTTTAAGTTACAGTCAGTTGCTACTTTCACATGTTTTAACTTGGGAGCAAAAGCAGGAGGAGCATAAAGGCTAGAAAGCCATCTTGATCTTCTATTACTCCTTAGTCCATGCAACATTTCTTTGAATGCAACAGCTAGAAATAATACTTCTTTTCTCTACCATTTCAAATACCCACTGACATCTGATTTTGCCGAGGGTCTTCCAGAAACATCCTCTCTACTCCTTCGAGGTAGGGGTAAGGTCTGCGTACATACTACCCTCCCCAGACTCCACTTGTGGGATTTTACTGGGTTGTTGTTGTTGTTATTGTTGTTTTTGACATCTGATTCAGACAACCTAGATGGATAATATAGCCTTAAATCAGAATCAATGGGTCTGCTATAGTTGTATCAGGCAACTTGTGGACATGAACACGAACGAAGAATCAAAGCCATCTCTTATAGTTTTAGGGCAAAACTTTTATATAACAAAGGCTGAGCCCAGACCCAAGCTTATGTTATGGTCTATCTCTATCACAGGCTTATAATAAAAACTGGTTATGTCACTTTTCAACAATTTTATAATTGATGAAAGCTTAAGTGGCTCTTCTAGTCAAGCCATCTCTTTTCCTTTGTAATGCCATAGTGAAGAAAGAGCTGGCAGGGGCCACGGTCTCTCTTAAAATTTGCTAATCCTTGAAAGATCCTGAACGGTGGTTGAGTTTTTAATACTACTACCGCTGTTGTCTGAACTGTAAGACTTAACTCTTAGGATAATTAATAAAGAGGGCTAGAGCTCCCCGAGGTTAGGAAAGAACAACTAACCCCTGGTTTGTACTGGAGCTATTCCTTCTTCTTTGTAATTCTGCATCTTCTTGATGCCTCAACTAATGCAATTTGATTACTTCATAAAAAAGACTAGCATTTTAATCCTAATGTATTGATTGCTTTGGAGAACCTATCAACTGATAGTTTTTGTGTTAATTACAACATGTCTGTAATTAGTCAAGTTGCAGGAATAATGAATCCAGACAACTATAACATCTGAATTCTGAACATCAACACAAGAAAGGTTTTAAGAATTCAACGGGGAAAAAAAATTGACAACCGTGACCATATAGCATGCTCAGTAAAAGGTCTTTTCAAATAACTAAATTGGCAGATATGATCAAGGCCCCTAATTAAGGGGAATAGCAGATAGTAACACTCTATAGTCTATACCTATAAAGCAAATCTACTCCTTAAATGTAACTGTTCAATTTTCCATAAAAGGTGAAAATTCGAATGACTCAATATTTCGTTGTCTTGATGGTAAAAATAGTTCATAGAAATGGAAACCTTATGTACCATAGGTGATAAAAGGCACATTGTTACCGTGGAGGTCTCTTAAGAAAATCCTGGAGTTGGGACAATGAAGGGTTGATAAGCGACAGACGAGCTGCCAATGCATCTTCGAAAGGAACAGAGCCATTCATTGCCCTGTCAAAGTCAAGATAAATGCGATATGATATCCTATAGCATTTAGTATTAGATTATAACCATTATCTCCTACATTTTAAAAAGGCAGCTAACCTAGCAGTCCATTCTGCTACAACCTTTCCAGCCCCACAAAATTCTGCAAATTCATCTATGCCCTCGTCTATGCACACAGTGCTATCCACATCAAAGCATACAACATTCGAATTTTGCCAAACATCAAGAACCTCTAACATAATTCAGAAAACCACCAGTTTGCTACATAGTCAAAATCCATTCCCTCCATAATAAAACTCAATCCATATTTCATTTTACTGATCATCAATCAATCAGCTTCGTCTCAATTCCAAACTAGTTGATGTAACGACCCGACTGGTCGTTTTGCCTTTTAGAACCCCGTTCCCTTAAATAAAA